ACATATATTTCTTGATCTGCTATGTATAATTTGTCAGGAGGCTGTAGGAGTAATATGGCTCCCTCTGGTTTTCAAAAGTAGCTAGGCATTATTTATCTCTCCCATTGTCTCAGCCCTCCAACATTGTTTTCCCACTTAAGGTGCCCCCATTTCCCCCCTTTCTCCCTTAATAATACCGTTCTCCTACGGTCCTACCTCTCTTGAGCTTCTTCTTTCCCTTTATCCCTTAGGTCCCTTGTATACTCTTCCCTCCCCCCTCCCTTAAACTAACCCAATTTTTATCCATATCTCCCTTATTAAGGCCTGTTTCCTACTGTTCTTCTCTTTCAGGGTCTTTCTTTTCCTTTACCTCCCTGTTTATTTCCATTATCCTGGTTCCTGTAGTTAAGTCTGGACACATACTCATAAGGATTTGGTGCTAGGATCCACATATGAGGGAGAACATATGTCGATTTTTTTTCTGAGTCTTTGTTACTTCACTTAGTATAATAGATTCTAGTTCCATCCATTTACCTGCAAATTTCATGATTTCATCTTTCTTTCCTGCTGAGTAAAACTCCATCATATAAATGAACCACATTTTCATTATCCACTCATCAATTGAGTGACACTTAGGTTGCTTCATCTCTTAACTATTGTGCAAAGGGCAGCAACAAACATGGATGTGCAGGTGTCTCTGCAACAGGATGAGTTCTTTGGGTATATGCCAAGGAGTGGTCCAAGGAGTGGCATAAATGGGATAATTTGGTAGGTTCATTTGTAGTTTTTTAAGAGTTCTCCACACTGCTTTCCATAGGGGTTGAACAAGTTTGCCCCACATCTGTCCTCTCCAACATATGGTATCATTTGTTCTCTTGATCTTAGGCAGTCTGACTGGGGTAAGATGTAATCTTAAAGTGGTTTTAATTTGCATTTCCCTAATTATTAGTGATGTTAAACATCTTTTAAGATGTTTTATAGCCATCTTTAAAACTTCTTTTGAGAACTCTCTGTTCAGCTCCTTAGCCCATCTTTTAATTGGGTTACTTCTTGTCTTGATTTTCTGTTTTGGGGGTTCACTATATTACATGGCTATTAAACCTCTGTTGGATGTATCGTGATGAAGATTTTCTTCCATTCTGTGGGTTTTCTGTTCGCTTCCCTGGTTGCCTCCTTTGATGTACAGAAGCTTTTTAGTTTAATGAGGTCCCACTTTTTAATTCTTGCCCTTGTTTCCTGAGCAATTGATGTCAAGTTTAGAAAATCCTTTCCTACACCTATATCTTTTAGGTTTTTGCCAATGTTTTCTTCTAACAGTTTCAGAGTTTCAGGCTTTACATTGAGGTCTCTGATCCATTTGAAATTGATTTTGTAAAGGTTGATAGATGGGGGTTTACTTTAGTTCTTGTACAAGTGGAGATCCTGTTTTGCCAGCACCATTTGCTGAACATGATGTCTTTCCTCCAGTGAATATTCTTGACCCCTTTGTCAAATATCAGGTGTCTGAAATTGCATTTACTCATATTTGGGTCTTCAGTTTTGTTCCATTGATCTATGGGTCTATTTTTGTGTTAGTACCATGTTGCTTTTATGACTACAGCTCTGTAATACAGCTTAAAATCTGGTATACTAATCCCCCCGGCATTGCTCTTAGTGCTCAAGGTTGTTTGGCTATCCGAGGTCTTTTGTGCTTCCATATGAATCTTAGGATGCTTTTTTCCAATTCTGTGAAAAATGTCATGGGAATTTTGATTGGCATTTCATTGAATCTATGAATGACTTTTTTGTTAGGAGCTATTAGTGTAAGCACAGCCATTTTGTACATTGAGCTGTGACGGGCTTGCTTGTTTCACTTTGACTCAAGAGTTTGTGTGTTTTGCACACCAGTACCTAATTATTCTGCCAAGTCAGGAAGAATGTGTTGATAATTTAGGGAAGATGGTTAAATGGTGGAATTCACAACAAGTATTTGACCGTTCCTTGACCCTCAGATAAAGGTTGGAAAAAACAGCTGTTGAAGCTAATTAAGCTAAGCAAACGGTGGCTATCTGATATTCTACTGTATAAAAAGGCTGAGCTAAAATAAACCGGGGCTTCAATCTCTACTGACAGTCCTCCCAAGTATCTTTCCTCTGTCTCTTGTTTTTCCTTCAACCCTCACTCCCCCTTTCAGGTACTGTCCGTCTTGGCCGCCCAGCACCAACACTTTTTGTAGGATAGTCATTTTCACAATATTAATTCTTCCAATCCATGACCATGGGAGGGCCTTCCATCTTCTGTTGTCTTCCTCAATCTCTTTCTTTAAAGATTTAAAATTTTCATTGTAGAGGTCTTTAATGTTTTTAGTCAGGTTTATTCTGAGATTTTTTTTTCAGCTATTGTGAAGGGGAGTGTTTCCATATGCTCTTTTTCTGATTGACTGTTATTGGTATATAGAAAGGCTACAGACTTTTGTAGGTTAATATTGTAACCTGCCACTTTACTGAATGTGTTAATAATTTCTAGGAGTTTTCAGGTGGAATTTTTGGCGTCTCTTAGATATAATATCATATCATCTGAAAAAAGACCTAATTTGATATCTTCTTTTCCAATTATTACTCCTTTAAATTCCTTCTCTTGTCTTATTGCTCTTGCAAGAGTTTAAAGCACTATGTTAAAAGAAGTGGGGATGGTGGGCAACCTTACGTGGTTCCTGATTTCAATGGGAATGCTTCCAGTTTTTCTACATTGAGAATAATGTTGGCCATGGGTTTGTTATGTGTGGCTTTAATTATGTTGAGGTGTGTTCCCTCCAGTCCAATTCTCTCTAGGACTTTGAACATAAATGCATGCTTAATTTTGTCAAAGGCCTTCTCTGCATCTATTGAGATGACCATGTGGTTCTTGTCTTTGAGCCCATTTATATGATTTATGGTGTTTATTGACATGTATATTGAACCATCCCTGCATCTCTGGGATAAAGCTGATTTGATCATGATGGATGGTCTTTTTGATGTGTATCTGTATGCAGTTTGCAATTATGTTGTTGAGAATTTTTGCATCTATGTTCATTAAGGATATGGGTCTATAGTTTTCTTTTTTGGTTGTTTCTTTGCCTGACTTTGGTATTAGAGTGATGCTGGCTTCATA